CGGCCTCTTGGGCTTTCTCTGCTTAGAGTGAAATAAGCAGAGTGGCTAAAGGCGTACTTAACTACCGCTTGCATTTGGGCTGTGAGTCTAAGTAGCTCCTGAGGACACCTGGCTTTTCAGCGTGGCTCTCACACGTGTGGGTGAGCTGGGCAGCAGCTTCTCCCGCTCAGCTGACTGCAACCTCTGGCGAGAACCCCTTGCTAGGCGGTGCCACCACCCCTGACTGCCAGAGACGGTGTAAGATGATAAGCAGGCAGGATGTTTTCATGTCCGGGCAGTGGTAGAATTCTCACTTTCCACGTGGGAGACCCAGGTTCGATTCCCAGCCAACGTATGTCATGTGCAGCCACCACCCACCTGTCAGTGAAGACTTGTGCACTGCTTTCATCGGAACATGGGGCCTTCGTGGCTCAGTAGTTAAGCACATGGCTGCTAACCACAAACTTGACACTTCAGCCCCACCCAGCGGCTCTGCGGCAGAAAGACCTGGCAGCCTGCTTTGGTAGAGCTTCGGGGCCAAACACAGCCCTTGGGAGCAGCGCTCCTCTGTAGCACAGCGAGTCGTCATGAGTCCACGTCAACTCAGTGGTGCCTTCACCACCAACCACGCCAGAAAGCGGAGACAGTGCTGCCATTAGAGCTTCCAGATTAAGAGGAGCGAGCATGCAGGTCGGTGATCCGCTTCAACTTCCAGCCAGTGACCACCCGATGGCTATGCTCTCTGCAAAGGGTCTCACAGGAGGCACGGCCCTGGCAGCGCTTTGTCCCGTGGTGTGTGGAGTCGCCAGCACCCAGGGCCGACCTGATGGCAGCCACTAGCAGCTGATGTCACAGGGCACAGTTTGGGCGCGTAGCTGGGTGGCGCTGGAGACCCCAGCACAGTACTTAGAGCTGGGTCGCGCAGCCATAACTGTGAAGTGCTCACCCAGAGGAACAGACACAATTTCAGGAGGAAAGTTCACCTGGGGAAGGGGAGGGGCTCTGGCTATCCTTGTTATTTTTTATTTCAACAACGACCACTCCTTGGCGAGGGGAAAAAGAAATGTGCTCAAGCAGCTAACACTCCATTAAACCTGGATCTTATGTAGGCGAGTGCATAGTATATGACTTCCCGTCGTTTAAAAAATATTTTAAACATTTTTATAATTAAAAATAAACACTTTAGAAAAGAGGGAGGGGAAAAAAAGAAAAAGGCCCCGGGATAGCCATTTATCATGGCCCTATAGAACAGTCTCCTTAATTGCTGCCCAGAGGGTAACATAATTACTTTAATGGCTAAACAATTTGCACCAAAGGGAAGGCATGTATCAGTGTATATTCCCACAGCTGGTAAAATTAAATGTTTAAGTACTGAAGCCTTAGATATACTGGGGGGGGGGTACAAAGAAAAAGAAATAGTGTAACAAAAGACTTGTGTAAGTGAACCGAACAAAGAACTCAGCGCTGAAATGCAGAACGGAAGGCTCCCCAGCCTGCAAGTGCATAATATTGAGCTACACTCTCTCCAACAGGAGTCTACTTAAGAAACATGCAGTTAGGATGCTCTGCAGTAGTAAGTAAAGTGGACAGTGTAATAGCCGTTGCCATAGTAGCCTCTGCTTTAATAGTATTTAATAAGAAAACGGAAGCTGTGGACATAATTGCCTTAGTTGTCGATTCTCAGGGTTAAAAAGCAGACATCTATTCACAGTTGGGGAACACAGTACTGTTTGCGGGGTATGTCATAGTTCATGCAGGGAGCCCTGGCGGTGTAGTGGGCTGTGATCCGCATGTCCACAGTTGGAAACCACCAGCAACTCCAAGACAGAAAGACTGGCTTTCTACTCCCATAAACACTTAGTCTCAGAAACTCACAGGGGGCTGCTGTGAGTAAGCCTTGACTTGGCGACAGCGATTGAGCGAGCGAGAGAGAGAGAGAGAGAGAGAGAGAGAGAGAGAGAGAGAGAGAGAGATAACTCATCAGGGAAGGGACTCATTCAAGGCCACCCTGATAGACAGGTTAATAAACGTGGGAAAGTATCATTGACAGGTGACTAGCACATGGGAGTCTGTGGGTGGTACAAAAGGCTGAGCACTACGATACAATTGATGTATGGATTGTTATAAGAGCTGCAAGAGCCCCCAAGAAAATGATTTAAAAAAAACGATGTAAGGGTGCTTTGCACAACAAGCAAGTCACAGGAGTGCCTAAGCTGCAAGAACACCCCCCCCCCTTTCCTGCCAGCCCTCCTGCCTGCAGATGTTTTAAAGCGACAGGCCCAGAGCGAGTCCCAGCAGCTCTAGTAACGTGTTAAAAATTGACCCTGGCCTCCCACCGACTGCGGAACACGAGACTCATGCCACGGCGTGGAAATTCACCAAAATGATGTCATTTGTGCTGCACAGAGCCGTTTCATAAGCACTTCCGTGCCAAACGGTGACCCTTCTCTTAAGAAAGACACATCTCTTTCCCAATCTCCTAGAGCAAGGGTCTGAGTCCCTTCCTCTTTCCCCAGAGACTTAAAAACAACCACCCACATCTCTGTTGAGCGAGTGAGTGCTGGGAGAGGGCCCTCCCGCCTCCTTCCTTGTTAAAGCAACCAGAGCCCTGTGATCCGCACCCACCAGCCCCCGAGTTATTCTCACCCTCGAGGCAGCTGGCAGACCCATTTGACTCCTATAACACAGGCCTGGTTAACCGTTTCGTAACAATTTCACGTGCATTATTTCCTTTCGAAGATGTTCCTCTTCCTCCAGTCTCCAAACGGGTTTATTTGTTCTCCAGGGAGGCCAGCGTGTCGAAACAGGCCATGAAGCATCTCCTTGTGTATCTCGAGACCATGAGTTGGGTATGAAACGTTGCTCCTCCCTCCCTGTGTAAGCGGTCGTCGATCATTTGGTACTTGGCCTAGCCACCTTCATCTCTGTGCGGGTGCGTGTGTGACGTCTCAGGTGGGCCCGTCCCGGGTTTCTGTCTGCCCAGCCACTCCAGGTAAGGCATTCTTTCCCTCAAATTCACATCTCCTTTCTTTTGGTCCCAGAAACAAACAGATGCTGTGGAGTCAGTTGGCTCAGGATGAGCCCCGTGCGTATACAAGGAAAACTGTGTTCCGGAGGGTTTCTGATGGATCATCGAGACTTTCTTCCGAGGTGCTGCTGGGTGGGACTCATACCTCCAACGTTCTGGTTCACAGCGGAGTGTGTGAACAGTGTGCACCATTGGAGGCAGGGTCCTCTGGCACTTTACTACACTCTCCCCCATTTTCTACCCACTAGCCTATGTCCCTTGCACCCCTTTCCCCCTCCCGGCCTGGAGACTCATATGACCCCAGGACTGTTTGGTTTGGGGATCCCTAAGGACTGAGACAAGCCCCATGCCACATCGGAGCGTGTCCCCCTGACCCTTGCCTGGGCACCATTTTTCGGTTTCACTTCCTTATCCTTAGCTCTTTTGCGGTTGCACCCTCGCTTATCTTTCCCTCCCTTTTTGCATGCTGCCCAGGAGTCCCTGCCTGGTGCAAATGATCAAGGGCTCAGCTAGTAGTCAAAAGTTGAGCAATTTGAATCCACCCATAAAAACCCTGGTGTGGTAGCGGGTACATATTGGGCTCCTAACCACAAGGGTTGCAGTTCAAAGCCACCGGCTGCTCCTCAGGAGAGAGACAGGGCTTTCTGCTCCCATAAAGAGCTACAGTTTGGGGAACTCAGCGGGCAGCTCTACCCTGTCCTAAAGGGTTGCGAGGGGTTTGGAGTGGGAGAAGCCTCTCAGAAGAAGGGGCTGTCCACTTGCTTTTGAGTGATCCATCACTGAACACTGCATGAAACCTAGTTCTACACTGTGCCCAAAGGTCCCCATGGATCTAAGCTGATCCAACAGCTGTTTAGCATGTGACCAGCGCAACGTGTTGGACTTCACTCTGTTCCCGCCTCTGGCTCCAAAGTACTACAATTCTTTCCGCCCTTTGAAGTCCTGTTTAGATGCGCGACAGCTCTCACTTGCCCAGGCACACTCTCTTGCACTCGTCTCCCGCAAGCTATTTGCTCACCCTCTGCTACGACTGGCCTTGTCCTCCTGGGCTGGGACTAGCAGCCAGGACCCCCCAGTCCTCCCCTGGACCTCAGCAGCCATGCGAACCCGCTCCTCTTGGCGGACACTGCTCAATCTGAAGGCGTTTTCAGGCTCAAGGAGTTCCACGCCCCCATCAGCTTGATCTGGTCTCCCAGCTCCCAGGGGCCCACCTTCCTCTGCTGGCCCGCCCAGTCCTCAAGCTGTGTCTCAGAGAGGAACACTGGTGCCATCACACCGCCCCTCAAGGAAATCACCACCACAGCCCCGGGCTCCTTGGTCTCATTCTTTTAGGATATTGAGAAAAAAAGCAATGACAGGGGCTCAAGGATTGCTTACAGGGAGTAAGCAATCAGGAGGATTTCCTTTTTATGTTGAGACCGACTCTTAGCAACCCCACAGTCCCAAGCAGAACTGCCTGACGGGGGTGGGGTGGGGGTGGGGGTTCCCGAGGCATGCTCTTCATGGGAGTGGACAGCCAGGTCTGGTCTCTCATGCTGCCACTGGGGAGTTTGAATGGCTGACCATTTAGTGAGCAGCCACATGCTTAACCCACGGGCCACTAAAGCTCCATGGGAAAAATGCACATCACTTAACTCTGAGTTTCCTTTTCTTTACTTCTTTGGGTTTAGTGGTCAGGAAGGTGTGATGCGTATTCAAAGCATCACCGAGGATGTTTTATTCCTGTGTGAGGGAAGCCACTTTAAGCTTTAAGGGACACCTGTGATGTCTAACACGTACAGGGTACTTGCATGGGTCAAACACTGGACTAGGAGCTCATTCAATTCTCTCAGCAATGCCTGACCATTTCCCTGAGAAGATGTTGATGGCCGGCAATGGGCAGCAGTGAAACAATTCAATGGTCACGATGTGTCATCCAGAATTGCTTCTGAGTTGGTCCCCTGACCTGCACAGCTCACATCAGAGCTTTCTGTCTGAGGCAGGAGCCACTCACCTGCACAGGGACTCCTGGCGAAGCCCACTCTCTTCTGAGCTCTGTCAAAGACAACGTAGAAGCCCTCCATCACCGTCGCACCAATCACCAGCGCGTTTGAGGAAGGAGAGATGCCAAAGCGGTAGCACTCGTAATTCAGACCCGCCCCCAGCATGGGCTGAATGTACAGCTGTTCGTGTGGAAAGAAGGAGACAACAAACAGAGAAGCAAGAGTCAGGCATCATCACAAGATGGCGGAGGTCAACAAGATGGCATCATCAACAAGATGGCTCAGAACACTCCAGTCCAAGGTTCACATACATACATATATATAATTACATAGACATCATATCATATATATGGTCATACACAGCATCTGTGCCATCCATGAGAGGAGACACAGGGAAAGTGACAGGACCACGAGAATGCACATACAATCACCTGGAATTAGACAGGGGAACTGTACTAGAAATGCAACCAGAACGCATCGGAGAAGTGAGGATGGAGAGACTTCTTAGAGCTTCCTTTGGACACAGCACCAGGAAAGACCAGTCACTAGAGAGTAACAGCCTGTTTGGTAAAGTAGAGGCTCAGCAAAAATGAAGTGCTTCTAAGAGGTGAACCGACACAAGAGCGATAAGATTGGACCCAGATAGACCGGTGGTCATGAAGGTGGCAAAGGACCGGGAAGTGTTCACTTTGTTATATATAAGGTCACCGTGAATCAGAGCCAACTCCATCCATCTGTCCATCCATCCATCCATCCATCCATCCATCCATCCATCCACCCATCCATCCATCCACCCACCCAGCTACTGAGTCATATGAGCTCAGCCTGGGACCAGCAATTCAATGGCAAATACGATGGTCCCTGCACTCCGGAAGTCCTGTCTATGAAGGAGGGAGGAATGGAGGAGAAGCGGTACGTGCTCCAAGAGCCTCATCTCCTCAGTGCCCACCAGATGATCCTCCTACTTGAAGCTCTTCCTTCACTTGGCCTCTGAGAGCAACACCTTCTTCCTCCTCCTAGTTCAGGGACTGCTCCTTCTCAAGCATGTGTACTAGACTTGCTTTACCTTTAGTTTAAGACTCCATACAGAGGTCCCTGGAGGTCCCTAACGTTGGCTACATGCTCAGCTGTTAACTGAAAGGTTGATGGTTCAAAGTTACCCAGGGGTTCCATAGGAGAAAGACTTGACAGTGTGTTCCTGGAAAGACTACAGCCTACACAAGCTACTCTTAGATTTAGAGAGTTCTACTCCTTCACGTGGAATTACTATGAATTGCAAATTGGCCCCAGGGCACCTGACAAAAGAATAGCAGGACACACACACACACACACACACACACACACACACACACACACGAGTTTGCTTCGTTTAGCCTGGCCTTTCTGTGTCAGTCCCAGCCAACTCCCAGTAAGAATTTCAGACTGTTAAATTCTGCAGCACTCTGGGGAAGCTTGAGCATTGCCGGATCTCAGAATAAACGGTCTGCCTGCAAGCTGAAACAGCACAAACACACAAACTAGTGGTATTTATGCTGAACGTATTTACATTTTTAGGGCTATGTGAGGGAGAAAAAAATGGGAATTTTCCTGAAGGCTGTTGCTGGGCCTGCTTTCTGAATCAGTCTAACAAGATTCAGCCTGTATGTGTTGGAAAACAGTGTTGGGGACAAAAGGGGAAGATCATTGTTTTTGATGTGACTCTGTTCTGTACCAGTGACCTTGTGCCCACCTATTATTGCTAATGCATGAAAGTTCTATTTTAAAACTTTGGTGACAGAAGCCCCCCCTACCCCCCACCCCACCCCCACCACTTATGCTCTAAGTATTAGGAAGAGAGCAAGAGAGGCAGAGCTGGGGTGCAGGGAGATCCCTTCCTGAAGGGCTGCAACTTCCTGGCAAAAACATTTTCCCACAAGGCTGTGTTGGGCGTTGGCTGCTGTCCCAGGGCCCCTTGACTCATGGTGGCCCTACACGAACAGAATGCCTCACTGCCTGGGCTGGCACCATCTCCATGATCAGTCGTGGGCTGGGCTGTCGTGATCCACTGGCTGGTCTTGGAAGTAAATTACCAGACCTTTCATCCACACCTGTCTTAATGGGGATGCTCGGTGCTGTTCAGCACCATATCAACAGCAAGCTTCCACCGACATACAGGGAGTAGCCGAGCATGGGATTCAAAGCCAGGTCTCCCGCATGGAAGGCAAGAATCTTATGGCTGATCCACCACTGGCCATCCTCCCCAACAAATCAGTGTTTCCACTGATGAGGGAAACATCTCATTGCAATGGGATGAGATGCAGGAACACATATCAATGGGATGGGAACATATCAAAGCCAACATATCAATGAATGGGAACATATCAAACCAAACATATCAATGAATGGGAACATATCAAAGGCAACCAACAAATGGCCCAGCCTCCGAGGGGAGAGTGAGGGGAAGTCTTACACAGAGGTTTGCGCATGAAGTGAAGGCTCCCAAGCCTGCCCTCTTCTATCCCAGGGCTGGGCCCTAAAAGTCATTGAAGATCCCCAGGTGACCCTTCAGCACTGATGGTCATCGCCTGCCCTGCACATAATAGACTTTTCCTCCCAGGACACCTGCTTTTTCCTCCTGCTTCTACCAGTCCCTGCCTCTGCCAACCAGCCTACAGGCCATTTATTTACATGTTCCCCTTTGTCCTCAATGGGATTCTGACTGCAGTTACAAATGATACTGACGAAACAATGCTCACATTTTACTATTCGACTGACCAACATTTAATCACTGGGAGCACATTATCTTAAAGGTGCTGAAAACATATCATTCGAACACCACTCCACGCAGGGCCATTCGGCCAAGGATACTGCAGTCTTTTGAAAATGTCTCCGGCAAGTATTATTATTTCTTCTTTATAGTTACAGAGACAGACACAGAGAGGGCCTGGTGATTTGCTCAAAGTTACAGCGAGAGTCAAGGGCAGTGCTGAGCACATAACTCAAGCCACTCGCGTCCAGTCATACATGCTCTCTGTTGGGCTGTGTTTCTCTGGAAGCATTCAATCCTTCCCCCAACACCCCTCCTCTTCGGAAAGATGCACCACTATGCATAAGCTTGGAATCAGGGGGAAAGGCAATGTTCTCATTTACCATTCTCTTCCAAAAACACCCCTCCTCCTCCACACCCAAATCCAAGTCCTTGATGCCAAATCTACCCAACCGGCATGCATCAATCTGTCTAGCCCACACCACTCATTATGCACCTACCTTGTACTGCCTGTGGTGCTCGGCGGCTGTGTGCTACCGATTGACTTGTGTCAATAATGTGTACTGGGGCCCTAACCCTTCTGTGTTGAAATATGTGTTACTAATAATGTGTTGCTGCTGACTCGTGGTGACCCTGTGTGTTAACAGCGTAGAACTGCCCCATAAGGCTTTAGTAGCTGTAATTTTTATGGAAGTGGATCATCAGGCCAAGAAAACCCTATGAGGCAATTCAACTTTGTGGCATGGGGTCACTGTGACTGGATGGCAACTAGTAACAGCCAAGTAGACCACAGGTATGCTGAGTGGATGTGAATCACCAATTCTTAGGTTAGTACCAAACTCAGAACTCACTGCTATCGAGTCCATTCTGATGCAAAGCGACCCTATCGTACAGGGTAGAACTGTATGGTGTGTCTCCGGAGATGTAAGTCTTTATGGGAGTAGAAAGTCTTGTTTTCCTTCTGCAGAGTACCTGGTGGTTTTGAACAGCTGGCCTTGCCATTAGCAGCCCACCGTGTAACCCACCGCACCACCAAGCATGAATCATTTGCAACACAGTAATAGGTAAGATTTTTGTGTCCACCTGACTGGGCCAGGATTCTCAGTGGGTTGGCAGTTAAGATCTAATAATTATTGTCCTCTTGATGAGATCTCAAGGGTGTGATCTGCTTCCAATACAAGTGGATGTTGGGGGAAAGCTTGCTTGTTTTCTGCTGGGTCTGGATCCTTCATTTGACCCATCATCTAACTTTCAGTTCGTTGAACTTGAGTCATTGGCCTGCTGCATTGCCTGCTGATTCTGGGAGTCACCAGTATCCTGCTATCGTATCTGCTGTGATGGTTGGGTTTTCTGTGCCAGTATGACACCTGTAAGAATATAGGGGGGTGGGGGAGGGCCTAGCCTATCAGGTTGCAGGCTAGTGATGTCCCTTGGGGGTGTGGCTTAGATATAAGAAGACATGGTGGAGGCCTGGACTTCCGTTCTTCCACTTCCCTTCTTGCTCAGACCAGCATGCTACCTGATCTGGCCGCCTCGCATTGTCCTGCTGCACCTCACTCACCACGTTGCATCCCTTGGACCAGCTCCGTTGCACCATCACCCTGCGAGGCCTGCATGGCATCCCTCAGTAAGGTACTACCCTGACTTGCTTTGCCGCATCACGCTGCAGGCCTCTGCTATGCTTCACCACCCCTCGTCTCTGTACCTTTGGTAGCCACATGAGTTAGAAAGACCTTAAGCACATTCACTGACCCACACAAGTGAGTCGAACTGAGATCTCTCTACATGGCTGTGTGGACAACTTCCATCATAGTTACCTTTCACGATATAAACTTCTCTACTTCTGTAGTCGTGAGTGTCCCCATTTTGCTTCTCTAGAGAATCCAGCCTAATATATCTGCTAAACTTGGATTCATTGCCTCCTCAGCCCAAAGCCTGTCATCTGACCAGCCAATCTTGGTTTCATCAGCTCGTGCAGCTACATGAGTCAGGAGAAGCTTCTAGCCTGACATCTGATCCATGGGCTTGGCGCTCGACCACCTCTTCAACCGTGTGACCTATTTCCTTGACTTAATCTTTTCTGTACAAAAAGGTTTCACTGTTTTTGCTTCTTTACAGAAGCTAGCCTCAGACTGCCATCTGTCAATAATGTATTGGAAGCCTGGCCCTTGCATCTGGGATGTAATGCACTCTGGTGATTTTGCCTTTCCTACACTCTGTAGGCATCATGTATTATGATGTGTTCACCACCCAAATGTCACCCCAAAAAGGCCATCTCTGTGTAGAGGGTCCTCAACCTAATCGTCTTTGACTTATAAAAAGAGCAGATTAACACAGAGGTCAGCACAAAAGGGGGCAAGATAGATGGATCCGAGGAATCAGGAAAAGATGGGGCTAAAGAAGATGAAGGAAGCAAGAATGCCCTCCAAGCTGAGAACCATCCCCTAGAGCCACACCCTGGGGTCAGGTTTCCTCTTCATCCAGGAAGCCCTCCTCGACTCCTCCACACAGTCCAGTAGACCTCTGTGTGCCTGTCCTTCTGGACCTTCTACTTACAGTTAGAACTTTATAATTTTACAGGTGTGATTGAGTAACTTGTTTTCAGAGGTCTGGTGTCCTAACTCCTTAGCATATAGTACTCAGCTGACCACAGACCCACGAGTGACCCCAGTCAGATCAGCCCAGGCCAGGCCAGACAACTCACCTGCTGACTTTGACGTTGAACAGCAATAGTGGCTGACTTTTTTAAGCTCCTAGATCTGTGGTTGTTACACAGCATTACTGCAGCTATAACAGATAACTAGCTAACGTATAGGGTGTGTGTGGAAGTCTATCCTTTTGCGATAACCATGTTCAGGAAGAGAGCGAAGTGAACGTGCAGGTACGTACCTGGGGCAGGATAGTTATTCGGAATGACCGGCTGGAGTTCTCATCTCTCAGGTAGATGGAGATTTTAGGAAAGTAAGACCAAGGGGTTTCATAATTGGTCCAGCATGCCAGCTGGGACCCAGTCCAGAAGCCGTCAGAGAATTCTGGAATCTGGACAAAACGAGATCATGGGGAAAACAGTGACTCGTCTGGCACACCAGCACGGAACATCTCCTGGCTCTCCGAGCAGCCTTGCCAGCCGCCCACGGGGCTGAACAATGCTCAGTGCTTCCTTTGACAAGAGTCACAGAGACACCATGGCTCTGGAAGGGAGATGGCAATGGGAAAGCATCAGTATGCAAATGTATGCAAATGACCAGTACTTGCCGAGCACTTCCTAGTGTTAAGCACTCTCGGGAATGTTTTAAAAAAGCAAACCACCACCACACTCACTGCCATCGAGTCAATTCCGACTCATCGCGATCCTGTAGAACTGCCCCCGTGGGTTTCTAAGACTGCACTTTTTTAGAGGAGTACACAGCAGCTGAGAGTTTGAACTGCTGGCCTTGCCGTTTGTAGCCCAATCTGTAACACACTGCGCAACCAGGGCTGCTTCAGGAGTGTTCTAGCACAATACTTGCCTAATGAGTCAGCGGCATCACATGGTCCCGTCTACGTCACAGGTAAGAAAACCAAAGCACAGAGAGGTGAAGCACCTTGCCCACAGTAGTGGGCAGTGGCTCTTAGGACAAATCCTAAATGTGGCCCATAAGGCCCCTTCCAAGCATGACCTTACTTGTGAGTTGCATGAACCCACCCACTCCCATCTGCCCAGAACCCTGTGTGGGCTCCCCCCGCCTGGAACACACCTTTCACACGTAGATCACCAGGCCTTGTTTCTGAGGCACATCTGAGTGGACTACCAACCGTTTGTGCCACCCAGCGACTCTGAATCACCCATACCACTAATCCAAACCGCTAATTTGAGGAAACCTACCTGCACACCCCAAGCTCAGGGCCAGACTCCGAGGCCAGTTGGTTAACTCGCCAGCTTCTCCCCAGGAGAAAAGGAGGCTGTGGGCTCCTGTAAATATTTACACTGCTGGGCCCTCTATACGGAGGCTCTGTGAGTTAGACTCTACAGGACGGCAGTGGGGTGTGTGCTTTGTTTTGTTTCTATTTTCCTGCTTGGGAGCCAGCCCCTCCCACAGCGAGAAAGTAAACCCAAACCAAGCTAGACCTCTTGGGTACCCCAGGCAGATAAAAAGAACAAGCACGCCTTTGGTCAATGTTCCAGACAGACAATACACCCTTGTTGGGCTTTCTTGGCCCCAAGCAACCAAACCTGCCCGAGTTCCTTTTGACGCAGGCTGCGCTGAAATCAGAAGATAATTTTAGACACGGCAAACAAATCTCGTCATTCTTTTTACCTCGTGGCTTTCTTACAAAGTCATGGTCACTGCTGAAACATGTGCTCCTGTGAACTCAGGGTGCGAATAAGAGTCTGCCCCCAGCCCTGCTTTCCCAGGGCTCCTGAGCAGTGTTGAATCCACCGAGCCAGGCAGAGGCCCGGCAGGGGACCAACAGCCAGTCTCCCTCACGTCCTTGGGAGAGAAGTAGATGTTGATGATGCCTTAGAGAGTTCGATTTGACAATGGGTGTGTTAACATGGCAAAGGGTCTTCTTGACAAGAAATCAGCACACGGTTCCTTGTATAAAGCTTGGTCTGATCTCCAGCACGCCTTCGAAAGCTGTCATTGTTGTAGGTCAGCACGTTGATTCTGACTCACCCTAACCCTGTGGCCAGTGGTTTGCACCCAGCAGCTTCTCCCCGGGAGAGAAAGATCTGGAGATTGCTTCCATCAAGCTGGGGCTTAGCGGAGTCTGCAGGGGCAGTTTGACTCTGTCCTACAGCATGGCTATGATTCCCAGTCTAAGGCCCTAAGAAATGTACCTGCTACGTGCAGCTGAGTCAGCAGGTGTTAGAGATGGTATGGGCCCTGCTCTGGTTTCTGACCGCAGCTTCTCTGTGTTGTTGTCCTGCAGGTTTTCTGGTTCACCCTGGTCTTCGGTGTCCTTTCTTTTGTACTTCCCCCCTTCTTTCTCACATGGAGCCCTGGTGCCAAAGCCAGTTATGAGTTTAAACCAACCAGGGGCTCTGCAGGACAAAGATGAGGCTGTTTGCTCCCATCAAGATTTAGATGTGGAAACCCTAAGAGGCAGTTCTACTCTGTCCCATATGGTCACTCTGAGTTGGAATTGGTGATGGCAGTGGATCTGGGGTGGGTGTTTCCTGGTTCGCCTGCTCATATCCCCACAAGAGTTTGAGACTTTAAGGTTTGGTTCACCACACCCAAGTGCTCTCTCTGGCTTCTTGTGTTTGTGGCATCCCTGGGAGAGCCTGTAACAAATACCTGCTAGGAAACCTTTGCTCTCAAATGTCCTTCAGAGATGGTCAGGCCCTTGGAGAGTGGGGCCACCACCAGGTCGTGGTGGTTGTGTTTGTTGTCAGCGGCCATTGGGTCAGTCCTCTTGGCCCGATACACAATGAAGAAAAGAAAAGCTGACTGGCCCTGTGCTACTCTCATGATCAGTTGATTGGTGGAGGATTGGATCTTTGTGAACAATCGTGCTTCCATTAGTTGGATTTTGGAACTGGAACACCAGGCCTTTCTTCCTAATCTCAGTCCAGAAGCTGTGCTGAAAGCTATTGGGCATCATAACAACACACAAGTCTCCCAAGACAGATACGAGTGTTGGCATGAGGTGCTGTGATCAGGAATTGAACAGGGTCTTTCTCTTACAGGGAGAGAGAAGATTCTACCACTGATGTCCCACAGGACCTCAGCCCATGTGGGCCTCTGCCACCTAGTCGATTCTCATCCCTAGCAAGCTTAGCAGATAGAGTGGCATGGCCCCATTAGTCTTCCAAGGCTGCAATCTCTATGGAAAACCACTAGTGACAGCACATTAAATATTGGGCGTCTAACTGCAAGGTCCATGGTTCAAACCCACCAACCACTCTGTGAGAGAACAATGAGGCTGTCTGCTGCCAACAAATGCACAGTCTCAGAACCCCTATGGATTAAGCAGTTCCACTCTGTCCCATAGGCAAGGATGCGTCAGAATCAGCTCAAAAGCAATGGGAATCTTTACAAAAGCAGGCTGCCACGTCTCTCTCCTACAGAGGGGCTGGTGGTTTGAACCGTTGACCTTTCTGTTAGCAGCCGAGCCTGTAACAGAGTGTTGCCACTGCTCCCATCTTCCTGTGTTACTGCCTCATAAAAGCCTGCTGCAGGGAACGCTCCTTTTTGGTGCTCTCGCAAGGATGGCCCAGCATGGATAGATGCTCACAAAATGACACGAGAGGACAAAGGTGACACTTGTTATACATCTAAACACATAGCAAGCACCATGGTGTTGGATATTCAATAGAGCTGCTTTTTGCTGCATGTCCACTGTGCGTTTGACACGCTACCCAAATCCCCATGCCAACCCGAGGGTGAGAGATGGAGGCTCTTAGGAGGTCAGAACTCCTCCCCAGGCATCCAGCTAGTGAAGGCTGGCCGCCAAGGCTAGGTTTGTTCCCAGCGCCTCTGGTTCACTGCGCTGCCCTGAGCTGAACCGGCAGTTGGGGGTCACACTGGGAATGGCATCACCAGGCCCCTACAGGCATGCTGTCCTCTACCAGGATTTTAAATCGCATTTCACTGCATGCTCATAAAAGGATTACTGGGCTGCCTGTCTGACCCTTACCTTCGGAGGAGCAGTCACAGGGTTTTATAGAAAAATCACCTTTGGACACAGCTTGGATGAAGACCGAAAAGGAGGAGGATTTCTGTATTTGGTGCTTTTAAAGACTATCAACTTGCTCCTGGCTGACTGTTTATGTCGCTGCTGCTGTGGGGAGGTGCTGGCAAGTCGATTCCAACACACGGTCGCCCATGTGGCAGGGCAGAACTGCCCCTAAAGCTCCCTAGGCTGGGGTCTTCCCTGGAGAAAGTCACCAGGCCTATGGAGTCGCCGGGTGGGTGCAAACTTCCAGCCTTTGGACTAGCACCCAAGCGCTTAATGGTGGCACCACCAGGACTGCTTTACTATCGACCTCAGCATCTCTATATTTAAAAAAATAATTACTCTCCAGTGGGCTTTAGTCCTTAGCAACCCCACTGATGTCCAAGTAGAACTCTGCTCCATTGGCCTTTTCAACGGCTGATCTTTCAGAAGTAGATCGCTAGAGTCTCTCTGGGTGAACTTGAACCTCCTGCCTCTGTTAGCAGCCGAGGGAATGAACTGGTTCTACCGCTCAGGAGCGCAATTACACTACCACATGTGGGTGAGTTTCTTTTACAAAGACTATAAAAATATGACATCCACTTAACGGTTCTTTGAAATACCAAAAGGCACTGCACATTCAAACCCAAGTCCTCTGAAGTTCCAGTGAAGAGACTGTGTGCTGATGGACATCACAGACTAAGATCTTAGCCTTCATCAACAATACAGACATCTCCACTGCCGTCGGGCATGCCAACTCATAGTGACCCTCTACAGGGTTTCTAAGAGTGTAAATCATGACAGGAGCAGACCGCCCCCCGTCTTTCTCCTGAGCAGTGACTGGTGGGTTTGACGTGTCAACCAGAGTTAGCAGCCCATAGCACTCCCTGAACACCTTGAATAGATCATAGTTTAACAACAATCACCACTACCTTTCGATGGGAACTTTCAGACCCACGGACTACTCCTCAGGCCGCGGTCCTGACTGGGAGTTCTCTTCCAAGACTCGTTAGCACCACCAGGACTCACCAGAGACTCGCGAGCCACGGCTTCCACCACCGCATCAAACACCTTCTGGGGCAGCCGCAGGAGAGTGGTCCCACTGTCCACGATGGCCTTGTCTGCATTGTACTGGGTGGGAATGGGTGAGAGGGGGCAGGAAGGAGGCACGTGAGCGGTACGCCCTCTCCACAACAGCTTCCACCAACCACCATCACTGTGGTGCCCTTACACACACCACGGCAGCGATTGACAGCACTTCATCGATTCATGGTCTCAGGATGTGGGCACCAGAGAGCTAGCCCCACATTCTCGTTTCAGGTAAGGAAGGAATCGTGACAGGACAAAACGCCCAGTCCTCCCAACACAGGGCTTTCTCTCTACTTGGAGATGCCCAAATGCCCCCATCAGAAAGAATCTCTCAAGTTGGAAATTCCACCGGAAATGCCATTTATATTAATTGTACAAACTCAAGCCTTTCACCTCCAGCTAAGGGAAAAAAGAAATCGGTAGGAGAGTTTTACAATAATAATAATATTAATAAAACATTTTCCAGGGAGTCCACCCCAATTCATGGTCATGCTATGTGTATCAGAGGAGAACTGAGCTCTACAGGGGCTTCCACAGCTGGCTGTGGGGAAGATCGCCAGGCCTTTCTTCTGAGGTATCTCTGGGTGGGCTTGAATAGCTAAGCTCTTGGTTGGCAGCTGGGGGCATTCACCACCCAGGGACTCCGATCTGGGGTTATAATCCAGGCTTACATTCTATGTGGGGCATGATGACTACCGTGGAGGTCAGTAAGCTGACAGTAGACAAGCCACCCCAACTGCAAGGGACACAACTGTGTGAGCAAGGATGTCCAGGCATGGGGGTGAGCCCTGGGAGATTTTGACCCTCTTGCTTGGAGAGCAAATTCATAAGTCCAAAGGCCAAGTACACCAGTCAGGTCCAAAGGCAAAGATACACATGTGTATTCAATTTCAAATATACCATTACTGTCAGTTCAGAAACAGATTGAACTTAATTTAAAAGAGTTGGTTCATAAAATTGTAGCTTTTAAAATATATGTAAGAAAAGTACTCCTATGTGTATAACAAACAGAACTGTTGCAGTGGGAAATTCTGGGTTTTGCTGCTTGTTCCTCTGTGGAGTGGGCAGGAAAGAACCAAGAATCTGAAAATAAAGCTGACACACACACACACACACACACACACACATTCATCTCATGTTTGAATTTGCTATGACTGGATTCTTTAGTAGTAAGTAAGGGTGCTGTGATTTTTTTTTTTTTTAAAAGCACAGATTTGTGGACTTAGGACTGAAACACAATCACAGCAGAATGGGCCATCCTTTGATCAACTTTGCTTTGGTTCTCAGTGGTGCCTGTGCATGGGAGTGTGTGGTGGGATGTGACGCTCTAATGAAAGGAAACAATAGCACATAAGTGTGAAATGAAATGCTGCCAGCGTCTACAAATCCTCCTGAAAGTGTAGCTTGAGGTTCCCCCAAATCATCGTCATAATGCCTTCAAGGCCACAACTACAGCCACCACTGAGACCGCTCCCACTCACAGCGACCCTAAAGGGCAGAGAAAAACCACTTGGGTAGTGTCCAAGGCTGTCATCTTAGCTGATGCAGACTCCCCATCTTTCCCCCGCAGAGCAACTGGTGGGCTTGAACCCCAGCCTCTTGGTTAGCAGATGGGCACTGAACCACTGTGCTACCTGGACCCGTATAGAGCACAAAGAAGCCAAAATGCAGCAAGAGGGTGTGGAATTGGCTAATCAGAGATGTGGTAGCCCGGCTCTGCACATTTCTTCCTTTTAGCAGTATCAAGCCGTGGGCATCTTGCGGACATGACCTTTTCTTCAGTAAGAATTGTGGGCTGTGAGGGGAGCTACCTATGGTGGGTTGAGCTGATGATCTTTGCTCCCCGCTGCTGTGTGCCATCAAGTGAATGCAGAGGCAGACGGACCCCTGAGGACAGAGCAGAACCGCACCTTGGGTTCCCAAGGCAGCAATCTTCGGGGAGTAGACAGCCACTTCTTTCTCCCACAGACCAGCTGGTGGATTCAAACCCCTGAACTTTGGGTTCTGAGTCCGGTATGTTACCCCTGCCCCACCAGGGCTTCCTAGCTCCAGACAGCCTTCCTCATTAAATGGTTTATGCTCACTTCTCCTATAAAGGCAAATGGTTAGAAGGAAGCATTGCTTGTTTGTTTGTTTGTTTGTTTGTTTCTAGGTGGGCTGGCAGGGGAGGGAGGGAATGTGTTCATACACAGACTCTGTATCTCTTAATGTCACACTCCAAGGATAGGACAACTTCTGATTTCACGCACAAGAAAACCCAAGCCAAACTCACTGCCATCGGCTCAGTCGATAGCAACTCATGGCAACCCTGTACAACAGGGTAGAACGGCCCCTGTGAGTTTCCGAGACGGTAACTGTTTATGGGAGTGGAAAGTCCTGTCTTTCTCCCATGGAGCATCTGATGGTTACACAACTGCTGCCCTTAAGGTTAGCAGCCCAATGTGTAAAAGCCACCAGGGTTATGGTTCACACACCGAGAGCTTACAAAATCCCCGGGGAGGCAAAGAACAAAGGGATTCTTCCACATGCAGGGCCCACCTGTGAAACGTACGGAACCCAGATCCAAACAAAGAGAGACGGACAGACACAGCAGAGATCATTGTGTACACACCTCTCTGCAGTCCAGATTAAGGCTTTGGCCTCCAATTTCCAGTTTCAGAATTTCTATCTGGTAATACCACTCCTCCTTAATAGGTGTATACCAGATGTCTCCCGTATACAGACTTGGCTCAATTCCACCCAAGACCTGGGAAGGGAAAATATTTACATGCATTAGAGAGAAAGGCCCAGAAACTTTCCACCAGGGAAGCATGCCTTCAGGAAGACAGCACTCCCAGTATCAGGACTTTCCACATACTGGGATGCCAGGATGCAAATCTGTATCCTTACAATGACAAAAGGAGCAGCTTGGGGCCATGCACCCCAAGGTCAAGCAATCCTGTGCCCTGGGATAATCTTGGTGGTTTCTTTATCCAAAGAAAGTCCACATAACACCAGTTTCACAATATTGTGCTACCCGACCTTCGAGAATGCATAAAGATGGGGGCTGTGCAGATGGACAATGATTTCATTATTTGAACATTAGCGAACATGAACACAAGACAAAACAGCTTCAATTGTAATGAAAAAACATTCTAGCTACCCTGCTACCTCCTCCCTGCCAAACCAAAGCACCCCAATAAGCCCACTGCTTGGGAGTCAATTGTGATTCCTATCGACTCTCCATAGGGTTTCTGAGACTGTAAATCTCTATGAGAGTAGAAAGCCTGGTCTGTCTCCTAAGGAACAGTAGTTTCGAACTGCTGCCCTTGTGGTTAGCAGTCCAACTCATTACCACCGTGCCTTAGGTTCCTTTTCTCAGCCCCCAAGGGTGATTCAAAAGGCATCACGAGGTGGATTGTGGGCAAAGGGGAGCTGCCAGGAAATGGGGCCTAGGTTCTGCTTCCCCGTTTCCACCCCAGGTCCCAGAGGCACCCTCTTCCTCCTCCATATGCATGGAGGGGCGCTCTGACTGATGTACATCCGTGCTATCTCTACAGACACCACCTTTGCTGCGTAATGTGTGTGTGCAATAGTGGGAGAGTTACGAAGGTCACACGATCTCCAAGTCATACCTTTTGCTTCCCCTACCCGGAATGCGGCCCACCTTTGGACCCCCTCTGCCCCATGCACTCCACTGATCTTCATGTGCTTCCTCCTGTCCACAGAATAGTTCCCTTCTAAAAGGCAATACACAAAAGCTGTGAGGGAATTTGGAAGAGGACTGTGAGTTCCCCTCCTGGATGGCTTTATGATTTAAAGCTAATTAAAACAAACGTTTTTAAATCGCTATAACAAGGATCACCCAATTTTTAAAGTACACACAAAACATATGTGCCTGGTATTTCTCATCTGATTTTTAATACAACAGGAAAGCTGAACAAAACAGTCCCACCGATTTGTGATTTTTCTCCCCTTTAAGACTAAAAGATACCCACAAGACTACCTCCGTTGGTACCAATTCCAGCCACCGGCAATCCTGCACCGCACATCTGCATGGAGAAGATGTTGGGGATCTTTGCCTGGCGCACAAGGGAATCAAAGAACGTCTCCAGGGAACTCGATGGCTGCGGGAGATGGAAAGAAAGACAACAGCTTTGTGACACAGTGGCGATGGAGGAAGGGCTCAATGCTTCTCCATCATATGGTTTTTCCTTTATACTGAATTTTCCAGGTCTGAACAATAAACAAGCCCGATTGAGATTAGGCAGAGTCATTCAGAAACCTTCCATAGAATATTTTCTGCTTGTGGCTAGACGTGTTGGGTTGGGTCAGACTTATAGTAACCCCATGCAAAACAGAGCTAAACGCTGCTCAGTCCGGCACTATCTTCATAACCATTGTTACGTTGGAGCCAGTGTGGCAGTTGCTGTGTCAATTCCTCTTGTCCTGGTCTTCCTCTTTTTCATGGACCCTCTATTGAAAATACTAGGGACTCCCAAAAGGGGAAGCTGGTCTGTCTTGGAAGAAGTAGGGCCAGAGTGCTCCTTAGAGGCAAGGATGGCAAAGCTTCGTCTTACAACTTTGGACATGTTGTCAGGAGACACCAGTCCTTGGAGGAGAAGATCATGCTCGGTAAAGTGGCAGGTCCGTGAAAAAGAAGACGGTGAATGAGATGGATTGGCCCAGTGACTGCAACAAAGGGCTTGGGTATAGCAACAGCGGTAAGGGTGGTGAAGGACTGGGTGGTGAAGTGTTTTGTTCTGCTGTGCCCAGGCTCGCTCGTTAGCACCCCAAAACAATCCCTACTTTACAAGCAGAATGCTCTTCTCCAGGGACTGATTCCTCCTGGTAACATGTCCAAAGTCCATGACACGAAGTCTCACTAGCCTTGCTCTGAAGGAACATTCCTACTGTACTTCCAAAACAGATCGGTTCATTCTGACAGTCTACGGTGTGTGCAGTAGTCTTGGCCAACAGCATAACGCAAGGCATCAATTCTTCTGTGGTCTTCTCTATCCATTATCCAGCTCTCGCATGCAGATGAGGCCACTGAACATGCCATAGCTTGATCGGGTGCACCTTCATCCTCAAAGTGACATCTTCTCTTTGGTTTTGTTGCTGCTTTGCTTTGTTGATTGTTGTTAGGTGCCATTGAGTCCATTGCAACCCACAGCGACCTGATGCACAACAGAACGTAACCCTGCCCTGTCCCGCACCACCCTCACCATTGTGTCTGTGCTTGAGCCCACTGAGACAGCCACTGGGTCACCCCGTCTCCTCGAGGGCCTTCCTCTTTCCCGCTGCTGTTCTACTTTGCCAAACATGCTGTCCTTCTCCAGGGACTGGTCCCTCCCTACAAGCATGCCCTAAGTGTATAAGAGGCAATCTTCCTATTCTTGCCAGTAAGGCGCTTTCTGGCCCTTCTTCTTCCAAGTTTGTCCTGTTAGCGGTCCATGGCACTTTCAAGGTTCTTTGCCAGCACCACAATTCAAACACAACGATTTTCATCGTTCTTCCCTACTCAGTGCACAACTTTCACGCATATTTGAGGCCACTGAAAGCTCCATGGCTCGAGACAGGTGCACCTTAGTCCTCAAAGTAACATCCTCGCTTTTGAACACTCTAAAGAAGCCTTGTGTAGCAGATTTACCTAAAGCAGTATGTCTTTTGCTCTCTTAACTGCTGCTTCCTGAACACCGATTGTGGATCTAAGCAAGACAAAATCCTCGACAACTTTAACTTTCTCTCCGTTTATTATAATGTTACCTATTGGTCCAGATGGGAGGATTTTTGTCCTCTTTACAGTGAGTTGTAATCCATACTGAAGGCTGCAATCTTTGATCTTCATCAGCAAGGGCTTCAAGTCCTCCTCACACTCAACAAGCAAGTTGGTGTCATCTGCATACCGCAGGTTGTGAATATACCTTCCTCCAGTCCGGAGGCCACAATCTTCTTTATAGAAGCCAGCTTCTCTGATGATTTGCTCAGCATATGGATTGAATAAGTATGGTGAAAGGATGCAACCCTAGTAACATACCCTTCTTGAGTTTAAACCGTGTCGTGTTCCCTTGTTCTAGTCGCACAATTGCCTCTTGATCCAGGAACAAGTTCCACATAAAGTGCAATGAATTGTTCTAGAGGTGCTCACGCGGGATGCAGAAGAGGATGTGGAATACAGACAGTCATTGCTGATGCTGGATGGATCCTGGCTTAAAGCACACAATAGCAGAAAGATGCTTACTTGTGTTTGATTGACCATGCCAACACATTGGACTGTGGGCATCGTTGCTTTAGGGCCCATTAAAGAGATCTTATGCAGCAGATTTGCCCAATACGATATATTGATGGTTTGATTTCTTGATTTTGCTTCTATGGGTGTTGATTATTTATCCAATTGAAGTCCTCTATCCAACTAAACCAATCTTTTGACTGTTTATCAGGATGTTGTTTATTGTTCCATTGGTGAGCACTTTCATATTCTTTACATAGAAATGCAATTCTTACCGAAGGTTCTTCTCTTTGATCTTCACTAGCGATTGCTTCAAGGTCTCTTCACTTTCAGCAGGCACAATTGTGTTATTCATATACCGAAGGTTGTTAATGACCTTCCTCCAAATCTGATGCCACACTCTTCCTCAAATAGCCCAGTTTCTAAGATTACCTTCTCAGCAAATAGGTTGGATAAACAGCAGGAAAGGATACAATCCGGAGGAACACCTTTCCTGATTTTAAACCATGCAGTATTCCTTCTGTAGCCCTTTCTTCAGTGTGATATTTTGGGAATTTTCCTTTTGGTGCTGCTCTGCTGTAAAAAAAGATCACATTTCCAGGAGCTATTAAGATGCTATCACATCATGACTGCCTGTGAGGTGAGTGTGAGCAGCAGTGGAGGTGGGGCGCCTCCGAGGGAGCTGCTGGATATGCATCAGACTTCCCAGAGGAAGGAGGGAAGAACCTCTCTAGGAGCCACCTTGCTTTCTAAAATGTTTGTTCACCTTGATCAGCCCCCATTGTCCATCACTTCAGTGAGAGATGACTAACCCCCGATGAGGGAGGGTTCATGCCAGATCTCAGATGGTGGGAGGCGGTTTAGGTTTGGGAATTTTGGAGCGCCTGCCAAACGAGTTCCTGAACTTTGGTAATGTAGCAAGTTGTGGTTAATCAAATGGCGTGTTCCTTAGAAGCGAGGATGACAAGACTGACTCTTTTACTTTGAACATATCATCAGAAAAGGCTAATCACCGGAAAAGGACTTCCTGTTTGGTAAAATAGTAAAAGCAACAACAACAACAACACAGCTGTTGCCATCAAGTCAATTACAACTCATGGTGGCCCCATGTATGGCAGAAGAGAAATGTTCCTGAGACGCAGCGACTTGTTGGCTATGTCTCTCCTACCATTGCCTTTGTTCCTCTCATCAAAATGACTTTTGTTTTACAAATGGGTCTCAGTAAAAAGTGGGAGCAGATACTGATGGGATTATATGATGTAGCTGTGAGTGACTATTTATAAGTTCATTGTGATGCCATCCTGCTGGGCATTAAATGAGCAATCTCAGAAGCAGAACCTCATTGCCATTGAGCCAACTCTGTCTCACAGTGACCCTATAGGACAGAGCACACTGCTCTTGCGGGTTTCTGAAGCTGTGATTCTAGAAAGCTTCATCTTTCTCCTGCTGTGGAGTGGCTGATGGTTTCGAACTGTTGACCTTGTAGTTGGTAGCCCCACAAGTAATGTCTACACCAGCACAGCTCCTCCAGAAGCAGGAAGGGGGACCTAAATACCAGTAAGAGCAAAGAGTCAGAAGCAGAGTGCGTCCTTTGGTCTCTGAGATCCCTGTGTGTTGAACCTCCTTGATCCAGGAGATGGATTTGACTCCTGAAAGAGCAGCAGAAGGCCAGCAGTAGGAGAACCAAGATCAAGCATGGGGCCGATCAGTGGACTTCCTCGCCCACGGAGCAAGTCAAACTGAGTGCTTTGGAGCAGAGATTAGCTTGGGAAGTGGAGTGCCTCTGGGCCCTTAATTGGGATAACTAGATTTACCGGCCATGGAGCAGGGCAGAGGCCAGGCCTAGAGGCCGAGGGCTGAAAAAAACCTGCCTGCAGGTAGTAGTGACTGAACAACACCATCCTGAGCATTTCTCACCTGAATTGTAACCTGTTGACTTCCCCAGTAGACCGCCTGGTCGTGATTGTTATGTGTGAGTTCTGAGTGAGCATTGCAGTACATTGCTGAATCCCGCAGAGAAGCAGATTGCTTGGGAGGGCTGGTGCTATCAGAATAAGGTGAAAAAAAGGATGGAGGTTTGGCAGCCTATCTGACCTCTTACTTTGTGGCAATCCGCCTTGGGAGCCACAGGAAGTCAGACGTGGCCCTGTGCCATTTTCATAGCCCCACAAGGTTTTCTTGCCTCTCCACCTTTTAGGCCATTCTTCCAGGAGACTGCTGGGTGGGTTTGAACAGCCAACTTGAGGTTAGTCATTAAGCACAAATTGTTTGTACCACATGGGGAGGGCAGACACAAAATATGATTGAGGATGAACTGCCTTCTCTTAGTAGCGTCAACAATATTGACAGGGATGAAGTAAAGCCTATGGGACCTTCCTTTTCTGATGGGGTATGACTCAAAATGAGAAGAAACAGCTGTGAACCTCTATTAGTGGGAGCTTAAAGTGAAGTTGTCAAAAATGAAATGGAATGCCTAAAAGAGCGATATCCTAGGAATTAGTCAGCTGAAATAGTTTGGCACTGGCCACTTTGAAATCGGAAGTCATCTTGTTTACTCTGCTGGCCAGAGCGACTTTGAGAGGCATGGCTTTACATCATCATTATAAAGGACATTGCAAGATCTCTCTTGAAGCACCATGCTGTTTGTGACAGGATAATATCGGTCCACATATAAGGATATCTAGTCACTACAAATACAATTCAAAGTTATGCACAATCATTAAAGCTCCAATCTAAACTCCCTGCCATCGAGTTGATGCTGACTCATAGTGACCCTGTGGGGCGGAGTAGAGCTGCTCCCGGGGGTCCCTGAGATTGCAACTCTGTGTGGGAGTAGAAAGCCTTATTTCTCTCCTAAGCAAAAGTTGGTGATTTTGAACTTGTGGGCTAGCAGCCCACGATGCCACCAGTACTCTTCCCAATCAGTAAAGACAGAAATGAAGAAATAGAAGAACTTTACCAAGGTCTTCAGTCTGAAATTGTTTACACGTGCAAGCAACATGCACTGTTAACTATTGGCAATTAGAATGCTAAAGTTGGAAAAGATAAACATGAGTCCAACCTGATTTGACTGCAACAACAGTATTTTGGTAGAACTAATTTCCTCTGTACCTTTTTGGTATGCAAGCATCAATTCTGAAGACACTGCCACTTTTACTGGTGGACTCACAAAGAAATAAGGCGCTTTGGGAATAGGTGGGGCTGGCCTGGGACGCTGGCGGTCATGGAAGAAGCCAATAGACTTGAGGTCAGATTTGACTGTGACCATCTGGAAGACACTAGGTCTACTCTACAAACCTATGGTTGACCTAAGGAGTATTATTCTTTATCTATAAAACCAAAATCTATAATGCTAGAGGCCATGAGAGGAGAGTTCCACTATCAAGAAGATATAAAACCTTCTCCATTTGTATTTGTCCACCACGAGTTTCTTTCTTTGAGTAAACATTGACTTGTTGGCAATACATTTATTTGTTCTTTCAGTTTCTTTCTTGGCATCTGTAGCGTTCTACGGCAGAATGTAATCTTGGTTGAAACACTCGTGTTTGGGTTAACAAATAAGGAATAATTCCTTCTTAAAAAGGGATTCTAGCGGAGGCCTGGTCTGGCATGCTCCTTTTGCTCACTTTCTGGGACTGAAGTCTGGCTCTACCACTTACTTATTCCTGTATCCCCTTCCTAGGAAGCTGGGGATAGCAATGGCCTCCTTCAACACGTTTATGTGACGTTTATGTGACAGATCCGTGCATTGCTCGGTCAGTCGTTCTCCTGACAAGTGGGTCTTCACTCGGATTATGCCTCTAGATCCTTTTAGATGTTTACCAGGGGGAAAAAAATGCAAGGGGCTTCTAAAAATTGGGGGGGGGGAGGGTAAATAAAATGGAAAGATAACAGATATTTCACAAACTTTTGAAGTCTCCTTGTGTGGTAATCCAGGACCAACTCCTAGAGGATGCTGGAAAGTAGGTCTGCAGTGGGCTGAGAAGCCCAGCCTTGGCGCAGAGCTTTAACCACCAACCAAAGGCCCGCAGACACCGTGGCTACTACGGCCTGGTTGGCCCACTTGTTCTAGAACTACGGTTAAAACCCACGCTGACCGCACTCTGAGGTCTCCTGACAATCCTGTTTCCAGGTCTGCTCCACTCCTGAAAATCCTGGAACTGCCTCCCCACAGCCGAAGCCACCTGCTGGTCATCTCGGGAGGGTGCACAGCCCAACGGAGCCTGGCCAACTCCCCGACAGCCGCTTGTGCCCCCAGGAGTTGACAAATGACTAATTCTAGATCATTTAGGTCGCTCTGTCATCTTCTGAATACTGCACAGAAGATCACGCGTACTCATATCTTTGATTTCCCAGCCGTCATCAGGATGAAACGTTTTGCCCGAGGTCGCAACGTCAGTGAACACAAATTCAGGGACGTTGATTGTTATTAGTCATCAAGCCTCGGATTGTGTGCGTCTTCTGGATCCAAGGAAAAAGGGGTCGCGCGCCCGGCCGGCCTCCATAGGTCGTGCGGGAAGGACATGCAGGGCTCTGTGTTCTGAGTGACCTGCATGAGAGCAGACCTGTCTGACCCTCAGTCCCCGTATCTGACGTGGGGGTCATCTGAGTGTACCCGATGGAGTGGCTGTGAGAATTGAGGGCTTTGGTGTCTTGCCGTGTTCGCCGTCTTGCACCAATAAAAGCCCACCAGTGGCTGTGAGCAAATCACAACGCTTGGCAACCAGAGGTTTGTCAGAGTTGAACAGAGTATTCAATGGTGAATCTCTGGAAAGTAGATCAGGCTTTTCTTCTGAGGCACTGCGGGGGCAGCCTTGGACTCCTAATGTTTCTGTTAGCAGCTGAGTATATGAACGGTTTGGACCACCCCGGGCCTCCCGCGTGACTAACAGGCACTCAGCAATTGTTGCTTTGTTCTTGTGAAGCCACAGACTAATGACCCCTCCCCCCTCCCATTTGCTAATAAACTTGAGCTGGAATGAATGGTCTTATAAGGTAGGCAAACAGGCCTTCTTTGCTGGGTCTGGTGGATCAAGGGAGGCTCAGGTATCACTGTGCTTGCTGCTACAATAACCACACTGTTTGTTGTTGTTTTTTTTTGTTTTTTCAACCCTCAGCTCTGGCTCAAAGCCTAGCAATGAACAATGCTGGGTCAAGGCGTGGTGCCCAATTACAGGGCCAGGAGAGGAGACCTCTTTGTTTTCCTCCAGTGGACACAAAGTGACCTGGACTCCAAGAGCCCAGGGACCCACCCTGGGTTGGTGTTTCATCCACCTCTGGCAACCCTACCTACTGGAAATTACCCTGCCAGTGAGTGAGCAACCTGTTCCTCCTGTATCCAAACTTAGCCCCAAGAATAAGAATTGGAGGGGACTCATTTCTTCCTTTTCTCATTTTGTAAAGGTTCTGATGCTGATGAGAGCCAGGGTTCCATGCTTTCTCCTGGCTCCTCACGACTTCCAGTGACTGGCAGCCCTGGGCCCATACTCAGGGCCCACACTCAGGGCCCAGGGATCTCTGCAAGGGTGCTCCTGAGCGAAGGGAAACAATTCAAGGTGCCCGCAGCCTATGGAGGGCATCTCTCTCTGTCGACAACCAGGCCCAGGTCAGCCCCATATCATGCACAGTCATGATTTAATACATGAGGAGTTAATAAGCCTAGCCTAATAGAGACTCCAGAAAGATCTGGGTGATCAACTTTCGAAAAACCAGGCCGTGTCACAAGAGGACAAATAATCTATGGTCCTCACTTTTATAAATACTCAAGAATTGTATATACATCAGAAGCAATATCCTTTGATGACTCCCAGGGGTGGGAGGGTACAGGTCAAGGTGGGGGTATGTGACTTCCTAGTAGCAGACATTTGGGGGGGGGGGGGTGAGGGGAAAGGTCACACCTAGTAAGGGTGATCTCTGCCCAGCTTGACCAAGGTAAAGGAAGTCACTGAAAAGTATGTCACCATACAGGTCAACTTTGCTCAATGCTGTAGCATGCGGTTTGCAACAGCAGTGATCCCCAAAACAAGTCAAATCCCCTATCACTGAGCTGACTGATTCAGAGTGGCCTGATGCAACAGAGTAGAGCTTCCCCATCGGCTTTCCAAGGCTGTGACTCTTGACAAAAGCAGATGGTCTCATGTTTCTCCCTGGAGTAGCTGGTAGGTTTGAACCACCAACCTTGGGTTAGCAGCTGAGCACTTTTACAAATGAGGTATCAGGTTTCTGAAAATAACAGTAATAAGAAAAACAAAATAACGCAGGTGGTTACATCGATAGCTATGTACACCTATGTGTATAGCAAAGTATGTGTGAGCACAGTGGTGACTATATGTAGGTATATCTGTAGGTACATATTTATATCAATAATAAAGAGCGTAGGGGGCACAGTTATGGGGACTTTCTAGACATACACTCTTATAGAACTGGTTTACTGGATTAAAGCAATTATCCCATGAAACAATTAATTGGCATGAAATAGTTCACAAAGTTAAGGTTCTACATTCCAACTTGGTGAGTAGCATCTCAGTTCTTAAAAGCTTGGAAGCTTAGAGGATGAAGGAAACCAGGAACTCAAAGAGGAAGCAAATCCACAGGACTACCATGGCTTCATCTAGTTTGAGATCAGAAGAACTAGATGGTGCCTGGCTATCACTACTGACTGTCCTGGCCAGGGGCACAATGGAAGGTCCTGGATAGAATAGGGGGCAGGGGTTGGGGGAAGTAGAGCAAAATTCAAACACCTAAAAAAAAGTCAGACTTACTGGACCTATAGAGAATGGAGACATTTCTAAAACTATCCCCCTAATTTGAACTTGGAACTGAAGCCATTCCTGGAAGTCACCTTCCAGACACCTTACTAGTTGGCTTATAAAATAAACAATAGTAACTGTGAGTACTGCACTCCCTTGAATAATCAATAATGAAACCAAGCAGTCAACATTACCCCCAAAGCGGAGATAATAAAGAGGGGCAGAGAGGCTTGGTTAATGGATATAGAACAGGATGGAAATAACAGGAATGATGATGCATCGTGAAAAATGTCAACACAATGGCACAGGACCTTTTGTCTAACATTATCTTAAATAGACAAATTTTGGTGTACACTTTCACCTAATACACAATAAAATATGATTTAAAATTGAGCCAATGGAAACCTTATGAGTGTAAAGGTCTAATCTGCAGCTGATCGTGATGCTGTGGTAAGGCGGCTGCACACAGGCTAACTTGATCGTAGCTAACAATACTCACAGCGAAAAGCCGTGAGCACACACCGTGACCACAATGAGTCCGTCAGACCTCGTGAACATTTTTAGTATATATCCAGCAGAAACAAAAGGTTGTTTTTTTTTAAGTAATGCTATTAGTCTATCTGGCAAGGAGGTTTACAGAATAAGGCTATTAACTTTAAATTGTATTAACTTTAAATTGCTTAGAAATCGAATTAATGGTATGAACACTGGCTTGCTTTCACCACTTGATACTCATTGATTGTTCAATTTCCATTTCTCTCCAACAACAGCCTGAGATACACCTGCTGGTCTCTGCATTGCGTAGTTTCCGAATCACATCCCCCGTTACTTGATTGTCTTAGTGACTTCGTCTTACCTTGGCTAGGGTGGCATAGGCAAGCCCAAGTATTCCATTCCATTTAATACCAGACAAAAAGAAATTCTCTGACTCAAAAATAGTGGCGATGTTGACAAGGAAAGAACTGTTGAAGCCTCTGGGGATGGTAACGACATCTTCCCCAACTAGGCCTCTCCAGCTCCCCTGCGTGTACTTCACGGTGACCTCGAAGCCCTTGGAGCGGTATGTGCTGGACCTAGAGGAACAAGGAAGGGACTGTCAGAGCGGCTCCCTTACGAGAATGCTAGGGTTGTGACTGTCTTCCCCAGAAATCTGTATTGCAAATCCTAGCCCCCATATCTGCCATTAGAATCCCACTGGGAATGGGTGTTCTTCGCTAAGAGGCCCTTTCAATGTAGGGTGTACTTTAAACCAATCACCTTTGAGATCTAAAAAGAGCAGATCAGGACAGAGAAGCAAGCACAGATGAGGGACAGTAGGTGCCATCCCTTGGTGGCAAAAGTCACCAAGAAATAAGGACCTTCCCCCAGAGTTGACAGAGAGAACCTTCTTTAGAGTGAGGGTCTGGGCTTTGGACTTCCAGCTGCCTGAACTGTAAGAACATATTTTCTCTGTGTCAAAGTCATCCACGTTTGGTATATATGTTATAGCAGCGCTAGAGAAGTAAGACAGAGGGCTCCTTTGTACTTTGTCGATGTGTCTTGGCTAACTGAAGAAAAGATGGTTATCCATCCCGTCAAAGACCCACAGCCAAACCAGACCTAATTCCAACTCACAATGACCCTGTAGGACAGAGTAAAACTGCCTCATAGAGTTTTCAAGGCAGTAGATCTTTACAGACACAGACTACCACACTGCTTTCCTGTAGCGTGGCTGGCGGGTTGGAATCATACCCCTCTGGCTTAGCAGCTGAACACTTTACACCTGCATCACCACCAGAGCTCCCTTCCTGGCAAAAGCAGTTGCCCTAAAAATAGAAGCTTTTAAAAATGTATTATTGTTTTAAATTGTGGTGAGTATGCATGATAAAACACTTGTCATTTCAACACATCATATACATACAACTCAGTGGCTTTGGTGATGTTTTACAAAGTGTGGTAGTTCAATCATTTTGTGTCAACTTGAAGTACAGGGGTGGGGTGTAGCCTGATGGTGCCTCCTCGTGGGCGTAACTTCCTCATAAGGAGGGTCTCTTCCTTCACCTTCCTCTTGACACCACGTGGAGACCTGGGTGAGCCCTGGGGATGCATCCACTATCATTGGATCCACAAGACTTTGCACCCACCGGCCTTTGATGTTCCTGCATTCTGCATCATTGCATGTGGTTTTGTGAGTCTGAAGAGGGACTTATGGACTAGTATAAGACTTATGGGCTTGCACTGTGCTGGCTGGAATGCTTTATTGGTGTGTAATTACTTCTTGATATAAAGCTCTCTCTTATACATATACGAATGTCCTTGATTTGTTTCTCTAGTCAACCCCATCTAACACACAAAGTTTATGAAACAATCCATTATCTTGCGATCCCATTTCACAAACTTCTTGAAACCCCTAGATATCTATTTCTAATTTTCCCCCCATCACCCTTCAGACAAACACAGTGGCCCCAAAGCAATAGCTCCTTTCCTCTTTCCCATCTCTAATAACCACTAAGTCTTTGGTCACCCTCTATTTGTCTATTCAGACATATCATGTCAGTGGGATCACACAATAGGTACCTGACTTACTTTGCTCAGCATCATGTTTGCAAGGTTTGTATACAATTCTTAATGATTAACAATGCTGATGTAACCAAAAAGGAGCCCTGGGGGCATAGTGGCCATGTGTTGGGCTGCGATCCACAAAATCAGTGGTCATGAACCACCAGCTGCTCTAAGGAAGAAAAAGGGGCCTTCCACTCCTATAAAGAGTTACAGTCTTGGAAACCCCCAGGGAAAGTTCTACCTTGTCATAAAGGATTGTTATGACTCGTTGGCAACAACTGGATGGCAGTGAGTTTTGAGTTGATGTTAACCAAGTGACAGTCTCCCCAACATCATCAGTGACATTTGGGTAGCAGTGTGTTCCATGCCACATATAACAGAGGTACTAGTGTTAACATGTGGTCCTGGCATTTGTTTCTTTTGTACCCAGGCTGGAGTCCTTCGGTGGTGCAAATGGCTAATGCACTTGGCTGTTCACCAAAACATTGAAGCTTTGAGTCCACTCAGAGGTGCCTCAGAGGGAAGGTCTGCGGATACATTTTTGGAATATCAGCCCTCAATATGCTGTAGAGCACAGATGTACTCTGACAAACAAGGAGTCTCCGTGCGTTTAGGCCAACTCCTTGGTAACTGGTGCCTACTTCTTCTAAGGAGATTGGGTAATGGGCAGGACAGGACAGATGGAAACCCTGCCCTCTGACTGCTTACAGTCTACTGAGAGAGACAGGTAGCATATAAGTGAGTACATGAGAGTTGAGGTGGTGATAAGCGTTACCAGGGAATGTAGCGGGTGCAGGGAGGATGTGTGACCAGGTGGCCATGGGAGCTCTGTGATGCTCAGGCATTCGTACTAAACCAGAATAAATGACACCAACAAGGCATGTGGCTCTCCAGAGGAAGGGCATCCTAAGAAGAGGGAAGGTCAGGTGTCAAGGTCCCAAGGTAGGTATGTGGTTGCTGTTGTCAATGTGGTCCCAAGGACTAGTAGAGCCAGAGCAGGTGAGAGTGAGTGGGTGTGGTCGGAGAACTAAGGGACAGGAAAGACCTTATCGGTTCTTGAAGATAAGGGACTAACTCTGAGGGAGTCGAGACACTCCTCTGGAAGATTTTTATACAAATCAGGACATAGCCAAACTTAGCTCTGAGTCATCCCCCCCTTAAGTCATCCCTAGGCTCAGAAGGCTGAGTGCCTAGCCTTCAACAGACAATTCTCACGCCCACTTGAGTTTGAGGGCTCTGTTGGGTTAAAGGAAGAAAGCCGAGGACCAGCTCTAGATAGACATCTGGGCATTCAAACCACTCTAGCAGCTCCCCCACTCCCCACCCAAGTCAGGGCCAAAGCACCAACCCGATCACCCCCCATTGTTTCTTTGTCCTCGCAGCTTCTCTCTTCAGATTAAATTTCTGTAACTTTGATACAGATGATTATGTCTTTGTTGCAGGGTCACATGAACCAAAGGAGTTTGACTGAAGGTCAGAGACTAAGCTAAATCAGGGATGAGTGTGAGTTTGTTCAGCTGATTGCCCTTCTGAGAAGCAGAGCCTAAAGACGTACTCTCGGGGCACACACTCATGTACAAGGGCCGTCAATGTGTTTTCTTTATAGCAGCAAACCACTAGACACAGTCCAAATGCCCAGTAGAAAGGAAACAGTTACGTAAATCAGGACACAGACAAACGATGAGAATGTTATATAGCACTGAAGATGCTATAGAAGAATTTAACTGTGACAGAAAAATTTTTTTTTAACATTTTATTAGGGGCTCATACAACTGTTATCGCAATCCATACACACATCAATTGTGTAAAGCGCATTTGTACATCATTCTCAAAACATTTTCTCTCCACTTAAACCCCAGACATTAGGTCCTCATTTTTCCCCTCCCTCCCCACTACCCCCTCCCTCATGAGCCTTTGATAGTTTATAAATTGGTATTTTGTCATATCTTGCCCTGTCCGATGCCTCCCTTCACCCCCTTTTCGGTTGTCTGTCCCCCAGGGAGGAGGTCACATATAGTTCCTTGTAATCGGTTCCCTCTTTCCTACCCATTCTCCCTTTACCCTCCCTGTTTCACCACTCACACCACTGGTCCTGTAGGGCTCATCCGCCCTGGATTCCCGTGACAGAAAAATTTTAAGAGGAAAAAAAATTATACACATGGCTGAATCTGATTTAAAATAATTTAATACACTAAAATAGCAAGGATAATTTCTTGAAGGAAACTCCACCGCGTGGTTAAGTCTTTCCTAGTTTGTTGCATAAATAACTTTACAATCTGGAAAATACGTCATTCTTGAAGCTAGACCTTTCCACATTTTCCGTATATAAAACTTGAAACTTACACAATCAGAAAAGAATAAGGTATTAATTTTTAAATGGCAAAGAAATTTGAGGTTCAAATATCAGTTTAACCTCTTAGTTGTATGATTGTGAGCCTAGTTATTTAATTACCCTCATGTCTCAGTCTCCCCCACTGAAAAAATCTGGATACTCTAGTTTTAATTCTCAAGGGTGGATTATGAGAATTTTAGAAGTTAATACAGTAAAGTTTTTTGAAACAGACTCTTCAACAAAATTAACTGGGTGCTGTAAAGTTAAATACCTTTGGCTGTTAAGCAAAGAGTTAGCAGTTCAAGCCTGAGTTGGACTCAATGAATGTCACCTTTCCAGCCACAATCCCTTATGTGATATATTACAATTCTGGACTATGCCTGTGGCTATCGTCCCAGTTTTGAGGACATTATCTGCTAACAAACAGGAATAGGAGGAGATTAAGTTCTGACCTTAGTAGATGGTATGAATCAGACCCCACTGTTTGTTTAATGATTATCTTGGTCACTGTCACTTATGGAATGATATACTACAGCTGAGAATGGAGAGAAAGCATTTCGGGGAGTGGCCTGGGAAAAATCCTGTCTGACTAAGGTTAGTAGGAGGCCAATACCTACTGGAAATACTCTGCCTGAGACCCCAGGTCATAGGTACATAAATAAGATACACTTAAAGGGTAAAGGATAGATTATTTTATTTGAGGGAAATTTGATTGCACCATAAACTCCCATCAAATGACCTTTCCTTACATGGGTCTGGTAAAAAGGTGGAGAAAGTTACTGATAGGATTCATCTGTGAGTAATTTTGAGCAAGACACCCTGCAGTGCCATCCTGCTGCGTGTAAAATGAGCCCACTGAGAAGCAGGGGGTGTGAGCTCATCACCAGCAAGAGCCAGAAGTGGAGTGCTTCCCCTGGCCCCAGCATCCGGGTTACCCCTGCGTGACCTTCTGATTTTGGATTGAACCACACCCACCGCTGTATGAGACATTTCTTTGAACGTGTGAGCCTCTGTGGGACACTGCAGTGGTTGGCAGGACCCAGAGAGGAGAGGGAATATACTCAAGGGGGTGGGCAGAGGGGGGAATGGAGCAGACTAGCATCTTACAAGAGTTGGACTTCTGGGACTTTTTCAATCTCCAATTCCTTGGGACTAGTTTGGTATGAATTCTTACAAAAGAAGTTATTACCACCAAATCCA